ACTGACGCTATGTGCACGCTGAGTTGGTTATCTACCCCCCCCTCCCCCTCCCACACCACCACGATTGTGTAGAGCGACATTAATGTCACACCTAGGTATACACTGGGTTGGATAATTGACCTAAAGTGACCGGACAGTGGTGAATGAAGTTGAACCCCCCCCCCCCCCCAACCCACCCCGAACTGATCTGTTAAGTACATGCAGAAAAACGCGTAAAATGATGTACCAAAGTACACCGCCAGAAAATTAGCTTTTATAAACGTAAAACCCATACCTATTACTATGTTAAAAAATGATCTTTAAGGAACACAAAGAAGCAGTAGTTAATTAAAAATATATGTTCTGGTCAATATTAAGTTAAATGTAGGCTGTTATTCCATGTTTTTCTATTATATCGAAAACCTTGCTTTTATACCAACTCTGATTTTAAAAACTTTCATTATGCTGCAAAGTTTTAGCATTTATGATAACGATATATTAAATTATGATTATAGACAAAAACATTTTGTGAACACGAATAGTGTTAAACAGTTTCATTATATTCTCAAGTAATTATTTATTTGTTTTGACATTTTGTATAATTGAATGTGTAGATATATACATATTTATATTAAGAGAGTTATTATTTCCCCTATTTCACTTGTCTTAAATAATTTCCCAGGAATTATTATGAAAGAATTTTTTTTTTACAAGAATTACAAAACAGATTGTGTTACGTTCATTGTTTTTGGTTGTAGTGTGTGTATATTTTGTTGTTTTTATTTTGTTTAGATTGATACAATTTTTGTTTTGTCGGCCTACATTGTGTGTTTTTTCTGATTTCTTCAGAGTGCTACTTTCAATTTATTTTAAATCATAGCGAAGTAATGACATACAGCTAGTAATTATATATATATATATATATATATATATATATATATATATATATATATATATATATATATATATATATATATATATATATATATATATATATAATACATGTATATAGAATGTGTATAGAACGTGTTAAAAATTCTGCGCCTTTTTTGCTCTTTTCGCTCCCCCTACAACGAAAACCTGGATACGCCTCTGGAGGAAAGTCTTGAGTCAATTAGCGAAAAGCAGAATATTTAAAATGTACTTATTCCTTGCCCATAATTTAATCATATATACATATAGAAAAAAATGTAAATTTTTTTTGATGACGCATATCATGTCTGTGTACATACAACTCATGCTTTGTGTTGTTTTTTTGCTAAATTCATGCTACACACATACCTCACATATGTTTCATGTTTGTCGACTACATACTTAGAGTCCTCCGTTTTGTTGAATTAAGTGTATTTTAGACCATGTAGTTAACTGAATAAAAAAAAAAGAAAAAAAAAATACAAAAGTCACATTCTTCAACCTTCCTCATCTGAACTAACAAATATTTTTAAAATGACATCAAACCATTTGCGCTTGATAGCAAGAACTTACTTGTAAAAAATAATGACTTACAACCAGCATACCGACTTTCGGATAATATTCTGAGCAGGGAAATTTTTTTCTCTGATGTCAAAAGAAAAGAAAGATAAGAGAAACTATTTCTTAAAAGAAGTCGACTGACCTATGAAAGATGTCGGAGAATTCGTAGTTCTAAAATGCACAGAAATATTTAATTTGCATGTAAACCATTCGACCGGATCCATTTTTGAGATAATATGTGAAAAGTTCAATGCCATTCAGAGGCGTAGCGACCCTTCTCGGCGCCCGGGAACAAACTTTCGATTTGCATCCCCCCTCAAGCTTTCAATTTATTTTTCCAACCTATTTTGGCGCCCCCCGCCCCTCCCCCCCCCCCCCCGCTACACCTCTGATGCCATTCCATTTTTATGACTACTAAAAAAAGGATTTTGGACTTTAATATTGAGATTTCGTTGTGAGCGGTTGGACACGCACCTACCACCAGCCTGAAAGCTCTGAATTCTAATTTTAATCAAAAATTAAATTGAATAAACTTAAAAGTAATGAATGGATATATAATTAGACCTATTCTAACCAAAGGATATCTGTCTATTGGTGTAATACACACACAGAATCATTCTCTCAGAGCCGTAAGAAATAAACATACGTTGAGTAAATACATCAAACTTTTTTGACCTGCACACACGCACGCGTGATCACACACACACACACACAAATACACATCCGGTTTTATTTTAATTTTTTAGTTTTTACATTTCATTGACTGCGATGTTGAAAAAAAAAAGTTTATTTCTGTGTGAGTTACTTCCCATTTTATATTTTTTGATAAATCGAAGGAAACAACCTGCAAATATGCTCATTAAAACAAAATATTCCGTAGTCCGCAATGAAAACTAAAGCTCAACATTTATTGTTTTGTTAAAATCTTGTTAAAATACTTTAAAAATTATTTATCCATCTTAAATAAATAATTCATTTTTTTGTAAATTACAATTTGACTCTTTTTTAGAAAAAACCCCTTAAAATATATCTAATGAGTAATTAATAAATAAAAAAAAAATGCTCAGTTCCTTAATACATCGAGTGTGTCTATTAATTTCTCACGCTGTTTGCCTCTGAGACAAAGGTTCGTGACCTGGGCCCAAAGGAATAGCAAACCAACGGCTAGAAAGTTTGGCGTTAAAAGACCACCACCATTAAGCCCTCCAGAAACAGATGTTCGAAAGAAAACCCCAAATAATTCATGCTAACTCTGGCAACATTGAACTTCAGGGGGGCTAGGGACAAACACATTATATAAACAACATAATAAATAAACACAATATTGACATCCTACTTTTACAGGAAACCAACATTTGAACTACAGAAGAAGCAAATAAACTAGATGCATAATTAATAGCGACAGTCTCAAGCCAAACACCACTCGATCAGCCCTCAAGTAAATTAACATTAGAAACAGTCTTCTGTTTCCCAGGTTTTTAAAAGTGCACAACCTGAATGGTAGAAAGAGATACACACCTCACCCCCCCCCCCCCCACACACACACACACTTCCCCCCACTCAACCGGACTGGCGGATTTTTCAAGGTAGCGTGCCCTCTTTGCCAAGGGTCAATTTTATGTCATGGAAAGTTTTGGAATGATAGATCAGTATGTGTACTGCAGAGACACTTCTACCACGGTCGTTTCTATTTCTGTCCATGGGCGGCTACAATGTGAACTTTTGACACCGCAGCTAAGGACGGAGCACAGTAAAATTAAGCAGTCGAGAGAAACCTAGTTTGCACACCTTATTTTAGTCTAGTTCTTATGCCATTTTATTTTCTCCATTTGATTATTATATATGCAATTGATGTTCATGTCTTTGATGCTGTGTAAAATCTATCAAATAAATAATTATTACTGATTTAAATGTTTTAAAACAATTGAAGTAATAAAAAAATAAAAAGGAAAAAAAAAAACTAATTGAGGACTGTATAGATATAGATGTTTGAAAGGGAAGAGTGTTTGCTTTTACGTGTCTCATTGTAATAACATTGCTTTTCCGATTGCTTAAAATTTGTATCAATTTAATTCTCTGTAATCCCAAATTCATTTCAGCTCTACTTTAAAAAAAAAATTCCCCCTCTCCCCTCCCCTCGTCCCCTCATCCCACCACGCCGAGAAAAAAAAATCCCTTGAATCATCATTTAATTACACATTTGCATTTTCAGTTTTAGGTTGGTTTTTAATTTTAATTTTTTTCTTTATATTTAGACGTTTTGTATTAGATATATGTATAAGTAAACGATCTTAAATGAATGAAAGCAGGCTACAAGTAAGAAAGAAATATTACTATTGTAAATCTGTATCAGTCCTCACAAGCCGATGATGAAAACTGTAATACTAAAGCGAACACACAACTGACGCTATAAATTACGTGTCTGAGGCTAAAAAAAAAAAGAAAGAAAGAGAAAAAAAAAAAAAAAAGTTTGCCTCTGAGACAACTCTTCCAAGATGAGTAAAATCAACAGAGACTCGCTTCGTGAGTCAATTGACGCTGTACTCAAGTATTCCAATGAAACCAAGAAACGCAAGTTCACGGAATCAATTGAGCTACAAATTGCCTTGAAGAATTATGATCCCCAGAAGGACAAACGTTTTGCTTGAACAATCAAATTGCGTAACATCCCCAAGCCCAAGATGAAGGTCTGTGTTCTTGGTGATCAAGTCCATTGTGATCAGGCTAAGGCAAACGACTTGCCCCATATGGATATTGAAGCTCTAAAGAAACTCAACAAAGACAAAAAGCTTGTGAAAAAATTAGCCAAGAAGTATGACGCCTTCCTTGCTTCTGAGTCTCTGATCCGTCAAATTCCCAGAGTTCTAGGGCCGGGTTTGAACAAGGCTGGCAAGTTCCCCGCACCAATTACCCACAGTGACAGTCTTAATGCAAAGATTGAGGAGACCAAAGCCACCATCAAATTTCAGATGAAAAAGGTACTTTGTTTGGCTGTTTGCATTGGACATGTCAATATGAATGCAGACTAGCTGTACCAAAATGTTTGCATTGGACATGTCAATATGAATTCAGACTAGCTGTACCAAAATGTTTGCATTGGACATGTCAATATGAATACAGAGTAGCTGTACCAAAATGTTTGCATTGGACATGTCAATATGAATACAGAGGAGCTGTACCAAAATGTTTGCATTGGACATGTCAATATGAATACAGAGGAGCTGTACCAAAATGTTTACATTGGACATGTCAATATGAATACAGAGGAGCTGTACCAAAATGTTGCTTTGGCTATCAACTTCCTGGTGTCCATCTTGAAGAAAAATTGGCAGAATGTGAGAGCATTGTATATCAAGAGCACTATGGGTCCAGCTGAAAAGATCTACTAATTCTGGGAGCACGATTGTGCAATAAAATCATATAAATTAAAGAAAAAAAAAGTTTGCCTCTGAGATAATATTACCCATGAGGAAGAAAGACAAAAATTTATTTGGTTATGGGTTCGTTGGTTTCTCAAGTCCTGATGTAGCCAAACACTATCATGATTCATGTCAAGGCATCAGTCTAAAGGGCATGACATTAGTTGTCATGCTAAGAAAAGAAATCCTGGAAAAAAAGAAGAAAAGAAGAAGCCAGTAACAAAAAAAGCAGCTGAGAATGAGAATACAAATAACAATAACAAAAAGAACGAGAAGAAGAAAGGACAGGTAAAGAAGACTGAGGAAGAAGATGAGGATGATGATGACGAGGATGAGGATGACGAAGATGAGGATGATGATGACGAAGATGAGGATGATGAAGAAGATGGTGAGGGCAATGAAAAAGAAACAGCTGATGATGATGACGATGATGATGATGACGATGATGATGATGATGATGATGATGACGACGATGATGATGATGAAGATGATGATGATGATGATGAATAGCCTTGAGATTTTTTAAACAACCTGTTATTTGTTTTATAGATGAAATGCATTTTAACATACATACAAATACATTTTTAAATGGATAAAAATGCATTTTAACATCCATTTTACAAATAAATTTTTGACTTAATATTAAAAAAAAAAAAAAAGTTTGAATTGTAAATTATATGACAACTCAATGCGACCACTACAACACCCTTTCAACTAGTCAACTTAAGTTGTTTCCCTACATAGAAAATGATTCACTGTCCCATTGACCCTCTCTGAAAAATTTCCTTTCCTCTCCCCACCCGGACTTCTGACAATTTCATTTGACCTTCACCCCTTTTACTGTCATCCTTTGCAATTTTTTTAATAATCAAATACATGACATCATGTAAATATTCATTATGTACATTTGCAAAACCTTTCGTTTTCATTTGGTGTTCAAAATTATGTTTAAAAAGTTGATGTTAATGGACTTGTTTTAATTGCAAATAAAAGTATTTAAAAAAAATAAAAAAAATATTGTAAATTATATTTATATAAATATATATATATATATATATATATATATATATATATATATATATATATATATATATATATATATATATATATATATATATATATATATATATATATTACAACCGTGTTATTAAATGAATTATATATATATATATATATATATATATATATATATATATATATATATATATATATATATATATATATATATATGTGTATATATATATATATATATATATATATATATATATATATATATATATATATATATATATATATATATATATATATATATATATATATATATATATATATATATATATATATATATATATATATATCTATATGATCTATTTGGAAATAATGTGATCAAAATTCAAAGATTATCGTTGTTTTATCGATGTATAGGTTCCTAGACAAATGAAATTACTCATTTAAATTTAACTTAAAACATTGTTTAGTTTGAATGAACCCTTATATATATATATATATATATATATATATATATATATATATATATATATATATATATATATATATACATATATATATATATATATATATATATATATATATATATATATATATATATAATTCTCTTCTTGGAGACCCTAGAAAACACCAAGCTGTAAGCGCGCTCCATACCGCCCCCACCCCTACATGGTCAGGTGAGTTGTGGTTCACGCTAAATGTTTACAATCGTGGAGCCGGGTTTAGTGACGGCTATTGGGGGCAGATAATTTGGCTATTGGGGGCAGATAATTTAGTTTGAAACGATTTTAAACTTAGGGGAGGAAACTAAGAGAAGGCTGCATTCACGGGGGGGGGGGGGGGGGGTAGGGGTTGGGGAAAGGAGGGGGGGTTATCGTCCTTAACGAGCTACTGACAGTGTTTTAAAGCAAATATATTCAGTGGCAGCAATTGGTACTGTCGAATTCACAAATTATGAATTAATGAAAAGTAGAAAATAAAACAACTAAATAGCGGCGTATGATACGCTGCGGGTCGGCTCGTATATATTATTTTAAATGTCCAACCATAGATTTGTTTACAAATATTTGATAAGAATAAACATAGCAGAAGATATAGAAAAAATACATACGGACATCGTTAGCCGAGTGACGTCATCAGCTCTTCCATTCTCCTCGATACATGCATTCCACGTGCATCGATTTTCAGCTGCCCACTGGTCAAGCCCATTGTTCTATTTCTCCTGCCGGTCGTTCAACTTAATTCTATTGCTTAACATTTGGCCAGTCCGCAGATTTGTCTAGTCAAAGCTGATGCGCAAAGATAATACAAAAGTGATTTTTTTAGTTCGTTTTGTAGCGCTTACATACACACACGCACACACACACTCGCACACTTGCATATTCGCACTCAAACACACTCATGCACACACAGTCACGTACACTCGCACCCGCACACTCAAGCAGACGCACAAACTCACTCGCACACAGTCACGCACACACTCACACGCACACGCACACTCAAGCATACACACACGGCCACTCGAGCACACTTACGTACACTCACGCACTCACACTTACGCACACTCACGCACGCTCTCACATTCGCTCTTACACACACTCACGCAATCACATTCCAAATGTTTCCTTGCCACAATCCACCACAATCCACCACAATCCACCACAATCCACCACTATTCACCACAATCCCCCACAATCACCCACAATCACCCACAATCCACCACAATCCACCACAATCCACCACCCCCTGTACACCACGTGTCACTGATTGACTCCTTTATTGACCTAGTCAGCTGACCCTCCATCGATCAAACAAACACCCACAAATCCTTGTTTGATGCTAGATAAGCTCATTGAATCCAGCCTTCAAGTCCACAACAGCTAAAACATTATGGGATTGTTGATTTCATAATATCTAGTACGTTATGGAACTGTTCACTTCATAACATCTAGTTAGAATGGAATTGTTCATTTAATAACATCTAGTTTATTATGGAACTGTTCATTTATTAACATCTAGTTTGAATGGAACATCTCATTTCATAAAATCTAGTTAATCTGATTTCAATAAAATCTAGTTAGAATGGAATTGTTTATCTAATAACATCTAGTTAGAATGGAATTTTTCATTTAATAGCATCTAGTTAGAACGGAACATCTCATTTCATAATATTTAGTTTGAATGGAACTATTTATTTAATGAGCTATATTGTGGCATGTAACTCACTAAAAATATCGCACATATCAATGCACATGCCAACATTTGTATGTGGTGTCCATCTGTTTGTTTCATATTGAAGCTGTTTTCATATATCACCCTTCTGGCTGAATCAATACCATCTTGTCTAATAAACGACTACCTTAAGTTTAGTCACGTAGCTAGACCAGGTCGGTAACAATAGAAAACCGTGACTTTAGTAGCACAACAAAAACAGTTTCCCTGAAATAGACTTCAGTGTTTTTGTCGTACAATCAAAACACCTTGCCGAAAATAGACTGTCCATTTTATTGTCGTGACCTCTCACGAGAAGAACGGGAGTGATCTCCCTGTAACACTGCCTTCAGAGGTAATCGATACGGTTATAAAACTTTGGGAGCACCGATTGAGGAAAATTTCTTTGAGTTTTTATTTGAGATCAGCTGGGGTTAATGGTGGGTCACTGATGGACTGCTGCTGGTAGGATGATGCTGTTGGACAAAAGAAGTAGAACAATGTTGGTGGAATGATGCTGTTATACATCAGGTGTTAGACCACGATATTAGACCGATATTTGACTGATGCTATAGACAACGGTTACTAGACCGATGATATTTGACCGCTGTCATAGACCACGACACTAGACCGATGCTCCCAGATATGACCCAACACTGCACCATCCTATTCCAATGTTGACCGAAGCTTCTCGATGAACCCCGGGTGAAGCCAGTAAAATGTTTCACCCGACTCAGCTCTAACACCCACGCATCTCCATGTTTACACCAACTTCCCCTTAAGTCAATATATCACCTGTTAACTCTTTTTTTAGATATCCGAAACAATATTTTATCAAGTCTATAAGCTGATCAGTCGATTGTTACATGCACTAAAGGTCTTGTCTATAAGTCATGTTACAGATAGGTCATTAAGCAAAGAAGGTCATGCAGCAAAAAAAAAGGTCATGTATTCAAGAAATTAATCCTGCATGAAAGGTCATATCTCAAAAAACTAAAAACCCACTTAGTGAAAGAAAATGTTTGAATATTTCTGACACGAAACCAAACTTTCGTCTATTTATAACATTTTCAGTAGTGTTTTAACGAAGTAATGAGGGCAAAAATGTGATCTGAAAATTACAAGATCAACTTATAAAAACCTTGTATTCCAGTGATTAATTTACAAAATGCTTGAGGCTCAAAACTGACTTTTTCTGAAAGAGATTGACAATTTTCAAAGATTGCACGATCTTATTTTATCTTCGTGCTGTTTTTAATTTGTAGATTAACTTCAGTGCAGGAAACCTTCAGTTTTTTTATAGGATTCTGAATTTCAAAAATTAATTAGAAACGTACTAATTATATCGAGACATTAATTTAAATTACAGGCAAACAAGCTTTTCAAGAGGTTAATTAGTTAGGCACTCATTCACTCTATTTGAGTTATTGAGTGATAGTTTAGTAAATTTTGTGAAATATATCAAGTTGTAGAAAATCTGTTGTAGAGTAGATGTCATATGGTAAGAATCTTGAATGATTAATTAGGTGAAAATGCTGTAATTAAGGATGAATCGTTGAACAGAAAAAATACAACACTAAACTGAGATCACACTTTTTTTTTTATCAAATTATTTCAAAATATTAGACTGTCAATATAGTTATATCAAAGTATCCCAGGAGATTAACATTTTCCTCCATGTCAATAAAGACTTAGTTATATGACTTATTACTGTACACTTATTCTCCCTGTCAATATAGTTATATCAACGTTACGTTGATAGTATAACATTTTCCTCCCTTCCAATATAATTATAGCAACGTGACCTCACGAGTCAAATATTTACCTTCCTGTTCCCGATTTACCAAACTTAATCATGAATTTGTACCTATTGCCAACCACCAAAGGCACTTGTCCCCCACATAGCGACTATCATACACAACCTTTGCAACAAATCCCAGAACACAAAGCTTGTAACAAATACTGGAACACAAAGCTTGCAACACATCCTGGAACACAAAGCTTGCAACACATCCCAGAACACAAAGCTTGTAACAAATCCCAGAACACAAAGTTTGCAACCATTCTCAGAACACAAAGCTTGCAAAAATTCTCAGAACACAAAGCTTACAAAAATTCTCAGAACACAAAGCTTGTAACAAATCCTGGAACACAAAGCTTGCAACAAATCCCAGAACACAAAGTTTGCAACCATTCTCAGAACACAAAGCTTACAAAAATTCTCAGAACACAAAGCTTGCAACAAATCCCAGAACACAAAGCTTGCAACAAATCCCAGAACGCAAAGCTTGCAACAAATCCCAGAACACAAAGTTTGCAACCATTCTCAGAACACAAAGCTTGCAAAAATTCTCAGAACACAAAGCTTACAAAAATTCTCAGAACACAAAGCTTGCAACAAATCCCAGAACGCAAAGCTTGCAACAAATCCCAGAACACAAAGTTTGCAACCATTCTCAGAACACAAAGCTTGCAAAAATTCTCAGAACACAAAGCTTACAAAAATTCTCAGAACACAAAGCTTGCAACAAATCCCAGAACACAAAGCTTGCAACACATTCCAGAACACAAAGCTTGCAACAAATCCCAGAATACAAAGCTTCGCAACATATTCCAGAACACAAAGCTTCGCAACATATTCCAGAACACAAAGCTTGCAACATATTCCAGAACACAAAGCTTGCAACATATTCCAGAACACAAAGCTTGCAACAAATCCCAGAACACAATGCTTGCAACAAATCCCAGAACACAAAGCTTGCAACATATTCCAGAACACAATGCTTGCAACCAACCCCAAAACACAAAGCTTGCAACATATTCCAGAACACAAAGTTTGCAACGAATCCCAGGACATAACGCTGGCAACAAATCCCAGAACGGCTTCTGACACTTCAACACGGCTTACAAGAAACTCACTTGGGAGACCTCACTACCAGAACTCCACCATTTCCGACAACTCTGTATAGACCTTTCTCAGCTCAATCATCGCCCCTTACAGGAGACAGCCACTGATGATGGTGACCATTGTTGATGTTGTAGTGCGGATGTAAGTTTTTTAAATTAATTTAATGAAGATTACCACAGCCACGTAGTTCCAATTTTGGTAATTTCACTTTGGTAGGAAATTAAGTTTCAAGCCATAAATTACGAAGTGAAAAGTTTAATGGGAAGTAATTGAATCAGCACGAAAAGAGCCCAGGATAGGATGATAAATAACCACATGATCAAGGGTTTTTTTTTTCGTTTTCGTTTCAAACTTCTTTCTGCTTAACAGGACAACGATTATGTTGGGAACTTAAATTCTGCACTGTTACAAACTATTTTGGTTATTAAAATTCACTTACTCGCTACACTCTTAACGCAACAGTTTCTGCATAAAACTAACGGAGCTTAATTATACTTCACTGAACATAATTGAACTTAAGTGCTACTGTCATTTAGTTTTACTTCTGGTAAATTTTTATCTCTTCTTTTTCTTCACTGGGCAGTATCTTTTCGCAACGATTTTGTTTTCATTTTCAACTGCTCGCAGTTTATAAAAAAAAAATTGTCCAAGGTTTGTTTCTTCATCGTTTTCATAACGTAGTGTAAAGAAGCCGGGCAAATGGCATTAAAATGCTCCAATGCACGGACATTGACATCATTTTTCGGGATTTTCTTTTCCGCGAGCTATGTAACGTGCTGATCCGGTTACAAGTTTCTAAATTTTACTCAGATTTTAAATCAAAACATCGCACGCTACACGGCTGTACTTATCATTCATGGTAAATATATTTTTAAAAACTAAAACACGTGGAAAAATTAACAGTGGTGGCATTTATTTTTTGTTCTGGAACTGAATAATGACTTTTAAATTATTTTTAATGGAGAGATTTCTTTTGAGATTCATGCGATTTAAAGTACAAAAATGATAGGGAATGAACAATATTCGTATCTCGAATGTATATACATTTCTCTATTGTGAGATTTGTATGTCATGCTGTATGCCATGCCCTATGTGATGCTGTATGTCCTGCTATGTATGTCTGTCATGTTGTCTGTCATGCTGTATCTGACGTCCTCTATTGGGAGCAGTACGTCAGGTTACTCTCCCGTAGAACCACGGCCCATTAGCTTTAAAGTGTGGCAGACATTGAACCTCTGCAGACAAATCACATGCATCAAAAGGATTTTTCTGCAGCGTGGAAAAAAAATTGAGCCAGCTATTCTTTGTCTGTGTAAAACTCTGGTTAAGCCTAAGGATTAGATGGGTTGGTGGGTTGAAGAGGTGTCACGGGACCCCGGGGTCAATGATTTCTTTAAAAGTCAGACTGGCTGCGGATTATCCGGGGAAAATCATCGAGCATTAAGCAATACCTCGAGCAAGATGACCTCCAAGATTAAGGCAATACCTGGAGCAAGATGACCTGCAAGATTTAGGCAATACATCGAGCAAGATGACCTGCATGATTTAGGCAATACATCGAGCAAGTTGCCCAAAGAAAGACAGGTAATACATCAACCAAGTTGACCTACAGCGACAGGTAATAGATCGACCAAGTTGAACTAAGAGAATTAGCCAAATACATCGATTAAGTTGACCTACATGATTTAGACAAGGCTTTGACTAAATGACTGTGCGTTAAGCAATGCTTCGACCAAATGTGTATATTTCTACTTAAGTATAATATTATATACAATCACATATATATACATACATATATATATATATATATATATATATATATATATATATACATACATATATGTATGTTACAATCGATCATACACGGAACGACATGAGTTTCAATCAATTCTCGTCAATCTAGACAAGCGGCCTGTAACGTGTGACCAAAACATTGGAGATGTCATTTCGTCCTGAGGTTAACTATTTGCTGTAAATGGATTGTGAGTCATTTCGTCCTGAGGTTAACTATTTGCTGTAAATGGCTTGTGAGTCATTTCGTCCTGAGGTTAACTATTTGCTGTAAATGGATTGTGAGTCATTTCGTCCTGAGGTTAACTATTTGCTGTAAATGGATTGTGAGTCATTTCTTCCATAAGTTTTCGTATTTGCTGTAAATGAATTGCGAGTCATTTCTTCCTAAAATTCATTTTTGCCGTAGATGGAATGCGAAATGACGTATAAGCTGTTTGCTACTACTATTTTAGTATAAAAAAACATGGTAGATCTGGTTTATTGTTTGGTTTATAATGTGTGAGTTTTAACTCTGACGTTGTCAACAGGGTTAGGGTTAACTCCGACGTCTAACTCAAGCTCTGCCCGTTCACGTCTACGATCCCCTATAATCGCACAATTTAAAAAAAAAATTAAACTTTTAAAAACAATTTTTCCTTGCTCGGATTCCCAGATATTTTTACAATTCTAATGCCAGTTTAAAAAGCTGTTGTCGATAATTCAGAGGGAAATATTTTTGGCTGGTTTGTCTTTATAATTCTTGCGTTATCGTTTGTCTTCATCTGACGGGGTCATTATTCAGAGGAAGTCGCCAGATTTTTCTCAAATTCTGGCATAATGTGTCATATTTAAATGGCATTTCACGGAATGCCCCATTTTTAAAAATTCAGAAATAAGAACCACTATTTATTTATATATATATATATATATATATATATATATATATATATATATATATATATATATATATATATATATATATATATATATATATATATATATATATATATATATATATATATATATAAGACATTTGGTACAAGTTTAAAACTTTAAAAATGCCATGTAAAGTTCGCTGACAGAAAATTTGAAAAATTTGTTTTATTTTTAAATACTCTCCTTCCTTCCCTCCCCCTCCCCCATTATCTTCCCTCCCCGCCAATTCTTAACCCAAATAAAACTTCCCGATCTGTATACAACAAGATTCACTCTAGGCTAAATGGTTTATAATAAAAAAAAAATTCACCGACATTTTCAGCACGGACTTTAAGGAGCAAAGGAGCAAAGGTTAAAAGGTTTGGACATTCTAAAGTCTTTTAGCCAAATCCTGGGTGGATTTCGTGTTGACAGGTAGCAGGGGGTGGGGGAGAAAACAACTGGGTGAGGGGTGGGGTTTTAAGACAGACTAGACAAATCAAAGATTGGGTGTGTTTAAGTGCAATCAATTCTGCACCCAATTGATAGCGATATTAGAAATTTAAATTCTCGTGTCTACGATTTATTTTTATTATCTTAAAAGGATTAAAACCCTTTGTTTGGAGAATAAAAGAATGAACTCACTTAGAAGGCGGTGTGTTAGGCCTAATAACATGCTGGAAAACATCTAGATTGAGGATGTTGACCCACCACATCTAGACTGACCCATGTTGTCCCACCACATCTAGACTGACCCATGTTGTCCCACCAGACTGACCCATGTTGTCCCACAAGACTGACACATGTTGTCCCACCACATATAGACTGACCCATGTTGTCCCACCACATCTAGACTGACCCATGTTGTCCCACCACATCTAGACTGACCCATGTTGTCCCACCAGACTGACCCATGTTGTCCCACCACATCTAGACTGACCCATGTTGTCCCACCACATCTAGACTGACCAATGTTGTCACACCACATCTAGACTGACCCATGTTGTCCCACCACATCTAGACTGACCCATGTTGTCCCACCACATCTAGACTGACCCATGTTGTCCCACCAGAATGACCCATGTTGACCCACCACATCTAGACTGACCCATGTTGTCCCACCACATCTAGACTGACCCATGTTGTCCCACCACATCTAGACTGACCCATGTTGTCCCACCAGACTGACCCATGTTGACCCACCACATCTAGACTGACCCATGTTGTCCCACCACATCTAGACTGACCCATGTTGACCCACCACATCTAGACTGACCCATGTTGACCCACCACATCTAGACTGACCCATGTTGTCCCACCACATCTAGACTGACCCATGTTGTCCCACCAGACTGACCCATGTTGACCCACCACATCTAGACTGACCCATGTTGTCCCACCACATCTAGACTGACCCATGTTGACCCACCACATCTAGACTGACCCATGTTGACCCACCACATCTAGACTGACCCATGTTGTCCCCCCACATCTAGACTGACCCGTATCGTGTATCGCAGCTATCAGAGTTAACCCCGTCTTGTCTTAATGCTGTCGGCTAATTAGATCAACCACCCAACTCCCCAGGTTATAATAGAGTTTTCCTGGTGTGGCGGATCACGTGACAAGCTCCTCCAATGTCTTGGGCCTGGAGTCAAGTTGAGGTTCCGACAAGGGTTAGGGTTAGTCCCGTCTCAACCGTCCATTAGTGTGATCCACTCTTACATTAGCTGGCCCACGTAGGATGTCGTGTCGACTGTCTTGGACTGGGCAGGATCAGGTATCAATTTCTGTCTGAGATTTAGATACCTTTTCTCACGTGAATTGATAGCTTAAAGTTTGTTTATGATCATCTTTTCAAGTTAAAAGTAATCTTGTAAAATAATGTACTCTTGAAAAGTAGATTATACTATAGTAAAAAATGTTCAAAACCTTTTTTTTTAAAAGGTTAAAGGTTTGTAGCCAAGTCATTAAACCCCCCTCATATCCCCACTCCACACACACACCTACACACATACACACACACAAACAGAATTTGTCGTTCATAGTTTTAATGTAAACGTGTCATCTTGCAAAAAAAAAAAGGTGTGTGTCCGCCAAACGTGTCAACACGTGATGCACACATCCCTGACTTGAAGCTCACCCACATTCCCCCGCAGAAGTCGACTTGCGTCACTCCCATTCCCCATTTCCTATAACATGCCTTCATGCCATACCCACATCCAGGCACATCAACGCAAATGGCTTATCGCTAATCCAACGGGGGGAGAGATAATTCCCGTCGCTCAGCTGTA